CTTATGACTACGTATTATAATTATACTTAGAAAAGAATGACAACAATAAACAGATAATAAAGACAGTTGAAAAATGGTAATATAGTAAGTATATTTGACTGAGTGATCACAATTCAACACACACAACAACTTTGTAATAAAAACAAATATCACGCACAAAAACTATTTTAAGTCTCTTTTTTTGGACAGAAGGTATCAGTTGCCCTAAAAACACAATCATACTTTTTCTGAAATATAGATGCTATGAAATCCATTTATAATTTTGTTATAAAGACATTAATTACTAGCTGGAATACCAGTCCCCAGGACCGAAGTTTAGTAAATTCATGATTAATGAAAGGTTATCCTAAGACATAAAAAGTTGCAAAAACGCCCATAAAAACTGCAAAACATAAAATGTGAAACCGCAATTTTGCATGTATCTCCTCATAAACCCAACAAACTTTCATGCCAAATTTGGTGAAGATTCATCAACAGGGGACGAAGTATTGGTAAAAAAAATGCAAAACTGAAAATTTGTATGTACCCCCTCATGGACTTAATAAAACTCCGTACCAATTTTGGTAAAGCTCCGTTTAAACCCTGCGAAGCAGTTAAATGAACATACAACAGACAGTATTATTATATTTATATAGATATCACCCATAGCGGAGCGACAGTTTTTAGTTTCTTTCGAGCTATGTATAATATTTTTATTTCTAATTTCACCCGTAAGAAAGACCTTGTATTTTTGTTAGATATATTCTTCATAAATAGCAAATACGTGAAGCTGACAAAATAATTTCTTAGTTTTAGCTCCCTTCAGTGCATTACTAATTATACTGTACAAAGTAGCTATACTTTAAATAGAAACGTTCGGGATAGACAAATGTTCGAAGCGTTTGATGTTACTTCTTATTACAGTAGCTTCACATTCATTTATAAGCACTGAAAACAGTCGCGTTTAATGTATCTCTAATTACTCAGTTAGTTAAATTCCTTGGAAATGTTTATATGGAAATGATTTTTCTGCATAATATACTTCTCTCGTCCAAATTAAACGTAAAACATATATATAGCTATGAACTCTTTAAACTGTATGTTCCTGACGTATAGTTTGCCTTTATGAATGCACCATAATACAGGGGGTTTCTCCAGTAAAAGTAATTCAGTGTCATAAAGTGGGTCTCGTAAAGAATGCTGATCAGAAATGACTGATTTGAGGCCCTCGTATCCTTGTGCCCACCTAATTCTGCCTTACAGTCACCCACACTGCTTCGGTCAGCAACTAATGTCTAGTGTTTCGCGCGTAATGTTGCTTAGGGGAGAAGCGGTTGGTGTCAGCGGTTTCAGCTTCACTCTCTCTCACTCTCCATTCTTTATTTTTTGTTTTGTTTTTTGTTTCCTAGCCAGACTTTAGGCAGTTTTCGAAGACTTGGCGCCTTTTATCTGCAGGCAAAAGCCGTTTCGTGTGAGTTGTAAGGTTCGTAGAGTAAAGCTCTCGTTATAACTATAGCACAGTAGCCGTAACCCTTGAGCAATCACACGTTCGCCTCTAGGATCTGTTAAAGTTTGTTTTACTCTCTCTTTGTCGTTGCTTTCATGCTAGCGACAGTAGTAATAAGAGAAACTACAAAAAAATAAAAAAAAAACAACCAGATATCAGATGTTAAAAAATGAGAGTAAACGTGCGTTTTGAAGCATATGTTTCAAGTACGTTGGTAATAGGAAGTCTGCGCGCGTTGGAGAGACTTATAAAATTTGGGTAAGTTGAATTTCTTGTAAAAACTGAGAGGGTTTTTATCCCTCTGCTGTTATGTTTATGGATATTATTTGCTCTAAAATCAACGCACAGTAGTTTAAGATATTGGTTGTATTATTTTTAACCACTCCGAATATTTGAAATGTTGTGGCTAGTATTTACTTCAACAATCTTTTAAATCTATATTTACTTAAAATAATTTCTCTTTAAGCTCTATTTACTTAAAATAATTTCGCTTTAAGCTCTATTTACTTAAAGTAATTTTTCTTTAAGCTATATTTCCTTAAAGTAATTTCTCTTTAAGCTCTATTTACTTAAAATAATTTCGCTTTAAGCTATATTTACTTAAAATAATTTCTCTTTAAGCTATATTTCCTTAAAGTAATTTCTCTTTAAGCTATATTTCCTTAAAGTAATTTCTCTTTAAGCTATATTTACTTAAAGTAATTTGACTTGAAGCTATATTTACTTAAAATAACCTCTCTTTAAGTCATTAATTAAACAAAAGGCTTTAAGACAGACTTGCAGTAATGTATAGAGTGTATTCCAAGTCAGATGTGTAATGTTTAGTTAAAAGTTGTCCGTACAGTGTAAATCAAGTGTTTTGTGGTGTAAGAAAAACAAAATTAGTAGCTTCTCCCACTCCACCCTTCCTTCTTTGGCCAAAGAGTCATTAAAGCGAACTTTGAAAGCGAAAACCCTCCACAGGAGGGAGAAAACTGCACGTAGTTGCTTCATCTCGTCATCGTAGTAAGACAGCTTGTTTCTACCTTATACTTCCAATTCAAAATTAGGTCTAAACTGCGGGCGGGGAAAAAAAAACTACAACCCGCATGCGTAGGACGCGTATTCTATTATGACGTGTACAAACTTCCTGCGTCCTTACTCACCAACCACATTTATAAATTCTAGAATGTTCTAAACACTCAAGAAATTCTAAAGAACCAAGCAGGATCCGAGTGGTAAATACGATCGTCAGAACCATCGTTTCCAGTAAAGGGTTGAACCACAGGTAAGGGTTAAATTTTAACACCTACGACTCGGGACACTTTCCATCCATTCCAAAATACGACAAGGAATACTTAGGTGTCATTAAATATTACATTCAACATAGCATTCTCTTAAGTGAACATAATAAAGAACATTACACGATGGCGGAAAAGATAACTTAAAATTCCTCTTTGTTATATCAACCCCTGTTTGTTGTCGTAAATCGAGGAAAACCTAATTGTTCTGTACAAAGTAGCGATACTTTAAATAGAAACGTTCGGGATGGACAAATGTTCGAAACGTTTGATGTTACTTCTTATTACTGTAGCTTCACATTCATTTAAAAGCACTGAAAACAGCTGCTTTTAATGCTTCTCTGATCTCTCAGTTTAAATTGCTGGGAAAATGTTTATATGGAAATGATTTTTCTGCATAATATACTTCTCTCGTCCAAATTAAAGTAAAACATAGATGCCTTCAAATATTATAGAATCTGCATAATATACTTCTCTCGTCCAAATTAAAGTAAAACATAGATGCCTTCAAATATTATAGAATCTGCATAATATACTTCTCTCGTCCAAATTAAAGTAAAACATAGATGCCTTCAAATATTATAGAATCTGCATAATATACTTCTCTCGTCCAAATTAAAGTAAAACAT